ATACCATCTGATCGAGAGCCAATGTTGATTAAAAAAGAAGTTCAAGCAGCAATGAAGGCTTTGGCAAAAACAAACAAACAAACAAACAAACAAGAAACAAACAAAAAACCCAAAGCCCCAGGAATTAATGGCATACCAATTGACATGCTTCAAATAACAGATGCAGCCCTAGAAGTGCTCACCAGTCTGTGCCAGGAAATTTGGAAGACAGATACCTGGCTAACTGACTAGAAAGAGTTCCATATTTGTTCCCATTCCCAAGAAAGGTGATCCAACAGAATGTGGAAATTATAAAACAATATTATCAATATCACATGTAAGCAAAATGTTGTTGAAGATCATCCAAGAACAGCTAGAACACTTCATTGACAGAGAAATGCCAGAAGTTCAGGCTGGTTTTAGAAGAGGTCATGGAACCAGACATATCAACCAGATGGATGCTGGATGAAAACAAAGAATACCCAAATAATGTCATTTGTGTTTTATTGACTATGCATAGACTCCTGGCTGTGTGGATCTTAGCAAACTATGGCTAAGTATTGAGAAAATGGGAATCCCAGAACACTTAATTATGCTCATGTAAAGTCTGCTCCTAGATCAAGAGTCTATTTGTCTGAACAGAGAATTGGAATGCAACATGGTTTAAAAACAGCAAAGGTGTGTGTTAAGGGTGTATCCTCTCTTCATACCTATTCATTCTATATACTGAAAAAATAACTCAAAAAGCTAGACTCTAGTAAGAAGAATGTGGCATCAAGATTGGAGAAAGATTCATCAACAACCTGTGTTACACCAATGACACAACCTTACTTGCTGAAAATGAGGACTCAAAGTACTTGCTACAGAAGATCAAAGGAAATAACCTTCAATATTAGATCTCAACATCAAGAAAGATCCTTACCACTGGACTGATAGGCAACATTATGATAGATGGGAAAGATTGCAACTGTCAATGACTTCACCTTACTTGGATCCACAATCAATACAGTACCAGCAGTCAGGAGAGTAGGAGATGTATTGCATTGGGAAAGACTACAGTCAAGGACCTCTCCAAACTACTGAGGAATGATGATGTTAGTGTAAGGACTAAGATTGAGGTTGTTAACAATTATAGCTTGCTTTGCTCCACAAGTAACACTCTCGGCACCAGCAGTCAGGAAATCAAAAGACATATTACACTGGGGAAATTTTGCTGTCAGGGACCTCTCCAGAGTATCAAGATGCAACGATGTCAGTCTAGAGACTAACGTGCATCTGATCCAAGCAACTTTTTATGCATCAGAGAGCTGGACAATGACTAAAGATGACAGCAGAAGAATCAATACCTTTGAGTGTGTTGCTGGAGCAGAGTCTTGAACATCAATCAAGAAACCAATCTTGAACATCCATCAAGAAAATAAATAAGTCTTTCTTGGAGAAGGTGAAACCAAGAGTCTCCTTGGAGGCTAGGAGTTTGAAGCTCTATCTCATATACTTTGGGCACGTAGTGAAGGCCATTATGCTCAGAAGGGTGGAAGAACAGAGCAGGAGGGGAAGACCCCGGATAAGATGGATTGATTCAGTAACTAGGATAATGAGGGTAGATGTATTAAGGTCAATGAGACTAGGGCAGTCAGAATAGGGCAGGCTTCAAAGCTGTTGTACATAGGATTGGTATGAGTTGCAAGCGACTCGCCAGCACATAACAACAACAACAACAACATCATGCACCTGATTCATGCCCTGGTCTTTTCAATCACTTGCTATGCATCTTAGAACTGGACAATGAATAAGGATGACAGAAGAAGACTTGATGCCTTTAAGTTGTGGTACTGGAGAAGAGTACTGAATATCCCATGGACTGCCAAATCAACAGATAAGTCTTGGAGAAAGTATAGCCAGAGTGATCCTTGGAGGCAAAGATGACAAAGCTTTGTCTCACATACTTTGGGCATGTCATACAGAGAGGCTAGTTTTTTGGAAAGTGACCTTATGCTTTGAAAGGTAGGGGGTTGGCAAAAGAGAGGAAGACCCTCAAGCAGATTGATTGACACGGTGACTGCTAAAATGGGCTCAATATATCCTGTGCTGAGGATGACACAGGAAAGGACAGGGTTCAAATCTGTCGTTCACAGGATATCTGTGAATCATATTAAACTTGAGGGTCCCTAACAACAATTGGACATACTGAGGAATTAGAGTTACAGGTAAGAAGGAGAGAGGAGCTTAGGTCCACATGGACTGGTGAGGTAACACACGGTATCAATTCAGCAGACAGTCCTGGAGTTAGAAAGTCTCACCTTTCTAATTATTTGAACGTATTGCTTACACTTTTGGAACTCAGTTTTTTAAATTTGTAAACTAGATGATGATAATATCTACTTCAAAGGGTAGATGGTTTTGAATGATTTTCTTATCAGTTTTAAATGAGCTAGTACATTTAAAACATTAGGAGAGGAAATGATATATAGTAAACACTCTAGAAATGTTGTATAAAACCATCATTGTAGAATGAGTATAAGGACCCAAGGGGTTGGGAAAGGGTGGAAGCAGAGGGATGAGGATGTGCAAGGGGAGGGGGCATTATTCATGGGGCTGTACAGTTTGATGGGGGCGTTTGAGGAAAATTGGAAGTATCTGTTCCGGAAAACAATGTATTTGAATTTTGTAAATAAACTAGTATAATAATAGTTTTTTTTTAAAATGTTGCTTATTACTATATTGTGGATCATTAATTAGCATAAGTGTCAAAAAGAGTTTGAGTGTGAGGATTGGCATCTGACCTCCTCTAACTACTCCAGGAAAAGGAGAATCCCCATCAGTGTCACAGCCTAGGTATCTCAACTTCAATTTCTACGAGGTCAGACAATTCTGACATCAGCCCTCTCTTCCATAGCATTCTCTGCTTCTCTAACGAGTGAGATAATTCATTGAAATACCATACAAAACTCAGAGACAGTACTCATGATTATGGGCTTTATTAAGGAAATAACAGTTCAAAAATCAACAACTCAGGATACAGTTATTAAATCAGGACGGACTCTTTCCTCAGCTGTTCCCACAGGCAGGCTTCTTTGTGGTCTTTGTTTCTGCTGTGCTTTGACTCTTTTAGCTATGCTCTTTTAAGAAGTCCCCAAATCACCATATTCTGCTAAGTAAGACTAAGTCAAAGGGGCTCACTTCTAGTTCTGTGGGCTCACGAAACTAGCTGCCCGATAAATTTTTAAAAACGAAATTCTTAAAGGCAGCCACTCTTCCTCATTCTGTGGCCTGGAGCCCACAGCTCTATCTTATACCAGGCTCCTGATTCTGTTGGTTCTAATGCTGCTGCTCTGTGACTTCTCTAGTGTCACAAGCCTCCCTCTCCTTGTTTGGGGAAGTGTTTAGCATGCGGATCCTAGGCCCAAAGCATGTGTTGCTTTCTTGGTTCTTCTTTCTTGATGATAGGAAGATAGCTCCTTCAGACCTTTGGGATTGCTTGTCTTTAAATTTAGCAGGATGACTAAACTGACCAATCCCCACGTTAGCATTCTATACACATTATTTGCATTGACTCACTTCATAAATGTTGCTAAGAGTTGCTATTCCTGGAGAGGGACATCACTTGGAAAGATTGAGGGTCAGCACAAGAGAGGAAGACCCTGAACCAGATGGACTGACAGACACAGAGACTGCGGCAAGAGCTGGAGTGAGTCAGAAAGTGTGAGGATGGCACAGGATGGGACAGGGTTCAGATTTGTTGTTTATAGAGTAACTATGAGTTATATTTGACTCAAAGGCACCGAACAACAACCACTCTCCGAAAAAAAAAATAACGACAAAAAGCCTCCCCAAACACAAACCACCAACACCCTATAAATATGTCATGTATCTTACTTAAAATATAAGCAAAATATCCAATATTCTTGATGGGTCATAAGTACCTCACATTTGTATAATCTTACCTAGTCATGTGGTAGAAATAATAAAATTATGATTAGAAATGCTGCATAGTGAAGTGGACCTGGGGGGAGGGATTGCAAAACAATGAAAGAATTTTTCCTTTACATTTCAAAGAAAAGAGTGTACTGGGGGGAGGTGTAGGCAGGGAGAAAAGTGCAACAAAGAATGAATGAATGAATGAATGAATGAATGGAAATCCAAAGTCTCTGTAAATTTTCATTGAAATTAATGATTAAAAAAAAGAAAAAAAGTACTAAAAATGAGGAAGAAAAGAAATATATCAATTGGTATTCCATAAAAAAAAAATGTCTAGGGAGCTCTGATGTCCTTGTAGGTAAGGAGTTACACTGCCAACCCCAAAACAGACAGTTTGAATCCCTCAGCTGCTTCTAAGGATAAAGATGGGCAATCTCCTCCAGTGTGATTTACAGCCTCCGAAAACCTATTGGATTATAAACTGTGAGTCACTTCTAACTTAATGGCACTGAGTGAGTTTGTGGAGAGAAGTCCAAGATCATTATTAGAAGGCAGATTCAAATGTGGTCGACTTTATATGAGTCCAAAGTCAGCAAGTATGGCAGGTCACTGGCTTAAGCCTGGAGATAAGGAGCCTGACAGCCAGATGTGGGTCTGATAAAAAGCTCTCTAGGTTTTGTGGTTTTGGTCCCCCTCCCCCCCCCACCCCCCCCCCCCCCCCCCCCCAGAATTCAAACACAAATATCATGCAAGCCACACTCCTGAGGAGAACCTACCTTTAATCATATTTTGGTAGTTCTGTTTATAATGATGCCTAATTAACATCACAGAGGTTCAAATTTATAATACATTGATGAGGTATAATAAACTGAAAATTATAGCCATGTTGACACACAATGTTGCCCATGACTGGCACATGCTCGTTTGTCCATTAACAGAAGTATCTCAACCTAGTCACACAGGCATTTCTGTTTTGCTTACATGTTAGGATGTGAGGATTTGCAATCTCTCTGACAAGATCTGGGCCGAGAATCTGGATCCAAGGCTTCTTCCAGTAGAAGTGATTGTAGTTCAATTTCCAAAGAGGGATTGTTGTCTGGAGCCTAGATCACGATTTCATAGCTTGAAGTCCCAGGAGGTTTTCTGTCACATGTGCTGGTTTTCCCCACCTGTGCACGAGAAGAGATGTGAGAAATGCTTACTGAAAGGTGGTGGGAAACTCCAGACTCATAAAGTACCCAATAAAGCCAAACAAATGGCACAGGGGATGCCTTTGATTTCCGCAGTGCTGGGGAAGTTTGAACTAGCAGAACCTTATTCTCTGCTATGTCCCTTACTACCATGCTGCCACCTATCTTGGGAACCGTGAACAACCAATTACTTAGACCAGAAAAGAGAAACAAGTGGGAAGATACACAAGTAGGTTTTTGGCATTAAATTGGAATATAGAGGTAGGGAAAAAATTCAGGTATCAGCTACACGCTTTTCTTATTCCCGGGTGAGCTTTGATTCCTTCTGTATGAATCACCAGTCATGTTATGTGTACTCTGGTCATTTAGAGTGCTGGAAACAACCTCCCCACTGGCTTAAGGAGTCACAATACTGACTGGTTAATAATAGCAAACTAACTTGCCTGTAAAGATTCATTTTACATGTTTCAATCCTAATTAAACCTTCAAATCTAGTCCATTCCAGATGAAAAGTCAGGTGACTCACCTTCTCCCTTACGCTGATGCTAACGTAATTACTGGACACCTGACCCCTCATTCCTTGCTTCTCTATTCTTTTACTCCTTTTCTTCTTTTTTTACTTTTGTCCTTTTCCTGATAACTGAGGAGGCAAGGTCCCTTCTGTTGTATTTTTCAGGGCATGTGGTTGATCTTTAGATTCAAGTCTCTTGTTTAAGGAAGAGATTTCTTCCTGCTTCGTCAAACTGCTCTATATGCTCACTATTGCCTTCTAGAATTGGCACTTAAATCTTATTAATTGACTTATTTGCAATTCACTTAAACTTTCTAATGTTTCTTCCTACAAAAGTTCATTTGTCATTGTTGTTTTTGGTGTCTGATAAAGATGGAATTGACCCGAAGCTGACCCTCCAGCAGGTTTTCAGAGGCAGTTGATCACACTGGAGGAGATTGCCCATTTTTCTTGCGTGGAGCAATTAAAATCTGTCATTATTAACTTTCTGTCTGACAACTTGACTATGAGCACTCATAAAATATTGGATTCACCACGAGGCCTCAAAGGTTTAGCAGTGGTGAGGACCCTTAGACAGTGATAAGTCTGCAGCAGAACTGAATTGAATTTCTATCTTGGTGTATTGTTGAGAAGGAAACTAAGCTATAGAAAATGTTGAGTGTCACCAGATCACCCCACATAGTTGTGCAGGCTGTGTTCTGTGAAAGGACAGCAAAGGGAGCAAAGGAGAACTGAAATTCAGTTTGTTTCACTTGCTACTTCACACAGCTGACGTGGGAGGGACTGTGTGTGTTTTCTCACCTTCACACTGTCACCTAACAGGGCCCTGAGCATCACACAAGCTGAAGTTTCCAAAGGATATAGGAGTAGGGGTTACTGAACTTAAAGAGAATGGTCAGCATCCTAAACAGGCCAACATAGGGATGGCCTTCCACCTGGGAAGCAGGATTCTACATGGATGAAAGTATCCACAAACCGGAAGCCCTAGAAAACTACCCTTGAAAAGTATAGAGAGGAGTCCCAAGGGGTAGAGATAAGAGGTATAACCTGAGCAGATGTAAAAATCATAAGGAACCAAAGCATATTTACCTTAGAATACTCCACTGTTGAGTAAATGGTCTTCTCTGACTCTTCATTGGAGGGAAGCACCTGTAAAACATCCACAGCACCTATGTACGCCCAGGTCAAATCCCATGAGCCCCATTTCCTACTTCTCACCTTGACCATCATCCTGTATTAGTTTCTTTTTTACTAGGCAGCCTACTTTCCTGGCTTCAGCCATCCAGAGCTACTGGAGAAGATCAGTATTACATGTAGGAAGAATGAGCAACAGCTGGGTAAGACCTCAGAAAAGCCTCAGAAGGGCCAACTGGAGTGGTTCATAGTGAGCCTTACAGAATAAAGATCTTAGCTTTCCATAGGCTCTATGGACATGGGAGCTCTGACAGTCCAAGCACAGGAATAGACTGACCAGACAGACCTCAGTTATAGGCTGGTAGAGGCAGAGAGGGAGGAAACGTAGAAGCCTGATCCTAAGTGGAGGGAAAGCAAATGGAAAGCAGGGAGGAAGAGGGAGTTCAAGACAGAATGACTTGGAGTCTGAGGAAAGCAAGCAGCTGCTGCTGTCAGGTAAGGAAGTTTGAGTTTAAGGGGATCTGTGTCAGTTCTGTGCCACACGAGAGCCCTTAGCAATGTGCTCACCATATTGGTGGCCACATAAGAGCACTCATATCATTTTAGGAGTTCCTTTGTTGTTTGAAGCATAGAGAAACTGCTTCAGAATTAGTCATGGTTTTTATCTAGTGTCAGAGTAAGGCCTCTTGGAAGGAAACTCAAGGCCTGATCCTCTGAAGGCTGCAATAAGAAGACAACTAACTTGAATCTTATTTTCACAGGAAGGCTCAGCTTATCATTTCTCTGAGAGTGATCTTTCTGGATTGGGTCTATCATATTATTGTTTCTGACTACTTCAAAATCATATCAATCAGTGGGCAGTGGTTGCCCTTTGGGGGTAAAGGGTAGCAGTACCTGGACAGCATCTTACCTTAGGCTGGGAGATTTCATCATATATTCTGCTCTCTGCTGGCTGACTGTCTCTTAGACCGTTGATGTTTTCATACATTATTTTCTTTGAAACCATATCTGTGTCACAACAAACAAACAAACAAACAAACATAACCATAGTTGTTAGCTGTTGATATGTGCAATCAAGTCACCTGTGACTCATAGCAACCCTGTGTACAATTACTCTGAAGCCTGCTCTGTCCTAAGCCAGTCTCACTGACTCCAATACACCTACCCCCATTTCCCTATTTACTGTATCAATTATCTCATCCAAGTTCTTCCTCTCTTGCGCTGTCCCTCCCTCCTCCCAAGCATGATGTCCTTCTCCAAGGACCAGTCCCTCCTGGCCATGTGTCCAAAGTATATAAGACAGAGCTTTAAAATCCTAGCCTCCAAGGAGAAATATGGTTTCACCCTCTCCAAAAAAGATCTATTTGTTTTCTTGGTGGTCCATGGTATGTTTTTTTTAAAAAATTTTTTTAATTAATTTTAATGAAAGTTTACAGAGACTTAGGATTTCCATTCATTCATTGTTGTACTTTTCTCCCTGCCCACCCCTTTCCCCCAATTAGCTCTTCTCTTTGAAAAGTAAAACAAAAATTCTTTCAATATTATATAATCCCTCCCTTCCCCCAGGTCCACTCCACTGTGCAGTCTTCATTCCGGACTCCTGTCATGACAATAATACCTAATCATATATCCCTTTTAAACAATTCTCTCCCTCATCTGTTTCAATGCAGTATACATTATTTATCCCCTATTTCTCAGTCTTCCCCAGCCCACAACTCAAAGGCAACTCTGGTGGTCTGGTGGCACTCCTGCGCTGTAATCTCAAAGACACACGGTTCGAATCTACAATCTGCTGCGTGGGAAAAGGATGACAATCTTCTCTCAAGCAATTAACTACCTCTGAAAACCTGCCAGAGGGTCTGCTATTGATCAGTTCAGACTCTATGGTACAAAACAGCAATAACATAACCCTCTGCTCAAACTGGTGTCTCAACCATAGCAGATGGATGTCTTTTTAGACATTATCTAATCTAATGCTTTTTGAAGCTGCTTCCGTTTGGCCTAGTGTACGTAACTGGAGAACTCGTCTCACTTGAGATAGATGCTTGGATCTTCAGGCTATCTCTCTCATGTCTCAATGTAGTAGAGAAGGTATTTGGGCCAAGCTTCACCTAGAACTAGTGAGAATTATCTTCTATTTTTAGAGTCCAGATTAATTGAAAGAAAATACTTTAACTCTCTGTATTTACTGTCAAAAGTAAGTGTTCTATCCAAGGTGGAATCCCACTGTACTTAGAAACACTGGCACTGGCATTTGGAATAACTACCTTATTCAACTAGCTGTATTTTCACGAGAGTCTCATAGTTTCTTAACTGCGTTACATTTATATTATATTTGAGTCTTCAAGTTCATACTTAACATACATAATGAAAAATAAGTTCTTATTTCTAAAACTGATAGGCTGGTGGGAGCATTCATGTCAGTGTGCTTTTTTCTTTGGTAATGATGTTTTTGCCGTTGAGTGTCATCAAGTGAGCCCCTACTCATAACTGACCCTCCAGCAGGTTTTCAGAGACAATGAATCACACTGGAATTGATTGCTCATCTTTTCCCTACAGAGAAGCTGATGGATTCAAACGGTGTATCTTTGGGTTGATAGCACAATTCCTTGCCACTAGGCAAAAGGAGCTCCCTAAGTTGGTAGTGAAAATGAGTTCTTAATGCTAAGTTGAAGAGTTGTTGTGTACTGTCAACTCGGGACCTACCCACACCTGAACTTCCAGAGGGTTCTCAGAGGCAGTACATTGCATGGGAGAAGATTACTCCTCTTTATCCAGTGGACCAACTGTGCATTCAAACCATTGGTAGCATTGGTAGCTCAGTTCCTTACCACTAAGCCACCTGAGCTCCCTAAGTTGAAAGGAGGTGACCAGTGTTTTGGTCATTTGTACTTCATGGCATTTTAACTTAACTGCAATTAACAGACCCACTAGGCTGAGTAGTGGCAAGGGGACTTTAATGTTTTCAGAGTCTTAGTCCTACTTCATCCCTTGTTCTGGATTTGACCAGTGAGCTTGAGTTCTGTCTCTTTATTTCATTTGTAGAAGCAAAGAGTAACCCTTCTTCCTTTACAGAAGGCTGTCAGGGATTGAGGACAGATGTCTTTGGAGGGACCCTTCAGATAATCTGTGAGGCAGTTCATGGAGCAGTCTATGTCATTCTCTGCATCCTAAGACCATTTGGGTAATATCACAAACCCTCTTCCCCTGAGAGAGCTTCTGTGCCATGCCCTTCAATTATAAGTATAGTTATTCATACATTTATTGTGTACTTGATCTATACTGGGGGGCTCTAGTGACCTAGTAGTAAGGAGTTGTACTGCCAACCCAAAGGCTGGTGATTAGAATCTATCAGTTGATTCTCCGGAAAAAGATGACTATCTCCTACTGTGTGATTTGCAGCCTCTGAAAAACTGCTGGAGGGTTAGCTCTGAGTTGGTGGCAACTTGACAGCAATAATTTTGAAGAGTTTTTTATTTTGTTTTTAGTTGACACTAGATTCTTCTGTAATTTTGTCATTCTCTATTCAGAATATCAGTTTTACGTCATTGAGAGTATCATTACATCTTCACTGGGGTCCAGAATATCCCCATGTCCACTCAATCTCTTCCTTTCACACCAATCACAATAACTAGCAAGAATATATAGTTTCTGTCTTTGCTTCCGTCTCCCTCATTCACCTCTGGTTCTGATTCCTTGGGATTCTGAAGCTGTAAATCACATGGGAGGAGATTGCTCATCTTTCTCCTGTAAAGCCAGTGGTGGATTTGAACCCCTACAAAGATGCAAGCAGCACAATTTTCTATGGACCACTCTACCAGGTGTTCCTATCTAGTGAGAATGTTGTTGTTGTTGTGTACTGTTGAGTTAGAACCGAACCATACTTGACCCTCCTGCAGGTTTTCAGAGGTCGTTAATTGCAGGGAGAAGATTGTCCTTTTCCTGTGGAACAGCTGGTAGGTTGGAACCTCATGCCTTCAGAAGCTGCAGTGCAGCTTCTTGCCCCTAGGCCACCAGAGCTCCCTCTAATGAGAATTAGGGAATGCAAGATTAATACTGTCCCTTGACAAGTTCCCAAGAGTCATGTTTTTTTTTTAAAAAAAGAGAAGATTTGGAAATGAACTTGGAGACTCTAATCCAAACATCATTTCATATATGAAGACAATGCCAGAGAGGCAAAATTTTTCACTGACAGGACTAAACTAAAACTCATGTTTAGGTCACACTGGTGACCTTGGGAACAGATTCTGAGATTACCCATTGAGGGTAATGTCATGTGGTTTTCAGGGTCCTTCTTCTGGGAGACAGTGAGAGGGTGGAGTGGGAGTTGAAGAAGAAAAAAAAGACCTCTCCATATTGCCTTGGATGTATATAACTTCATTTCCAAGAAGAAGAAAGGAGTGTTTCCATATTTTACCTTCTGGTAAAATCCTACCTTGTTTTCTCTTGTATAAACGGAACAAAAGCAGTGGAGATATAATGATAACAAGCAAGATGAGCAGAGCCAACACACCCAGTAATCCAGCGGAGTGAGTTCGGAGGCCCATTACAGTACCTGCAAACAGAAATTCAGTGAGTTTTGACTTCCCAGGACCATTCCTGGAAGCTAAGGAGCTGGCTCTGGTTGCACTCAGAGGCACTCTCACATTTGTGTTGCTTCCTGGGGAATACGGAAGCTTGTAGGGAAATGGTCCCTCCTGCTGTTAAAATCTGGGTTTAGAGACTGAATCAGAAGACCACACAGGGGCTGCCTCAGAATTCTTTGAAATGCCTTGCATCTCTCAGAAGTTTTGAGGTTTTTCCAGAGGACTTTCTGGACCCCAAGGATCTAGTACATGTATATGAAAATACATTCATTCCCCTAGAGAATAAAATACAAGTTTGCCATTATTAAGAGCGATTTCCGAGAGGGTTAGTTAGTTACCTGCACAGAGATGCTGGGTGGAGATGGAGTCGGTGTTATTACTAACAGGGTTCTGGGCAGTACAAGAGTAAGCCAAATCTTGGTTGTCAGGGGTCAGGGAGATTGTAAGGACATTTCCCTCTTCTCCAAGTGGACTCCATCTATATGTCACATCCTTTTCCTCCTTCTCCACAGAGCAAGTCAGTGTCACATTACAGGTATTATTAATAGATGCCATTAAGTTTGGTGTAATTTTTGGCTTCTCAAGCCGACCTAGAAAGAGAAAACAAATGATGGTGTGGATTGAATTGTATCCCCTCAAGATATGCATCTACATGGCCAGGTTACAATTAACAGTAGTGGGTAGTTACCCTCCATTTTGTGAGGTGATGTAATTATTCAACATTTTGTATGTTATGAATTTTCACTTCCACATGCTAATGAAACAGGATTAGATTGTGTTCATGAGGATTAGGCTATTTTTGTTATTTTAATGACACAGGATTAGGGTAGGATGTCACATCTTTCTCAGATCACACACAGCCTTATCTAATAACAGGGGAGGGTCCCTGAGGTGTAGCAATATAGAAAATTAGGGGTGGGATTACTAATCCAGAGATTGGTTTTTCCTGGCTGTTTGAATCCAGCAGTGATTTCATTGAAGAAAGATGGGCAACATCCTCTCAGGTGATTGAAATGTGATTTACAGCCTCAAGAAACCTTCTGGAGGGTCACCTATGAGCCCACTCTGACTCAATGGCAATGAAGTGTAGTGAGAGCCTCTTAAACTGTAAGATAATACATTTCTGTTTCTTACAGCCATCCATTTGTAGTATTGGTGCAGCAGCACTGTATAACTGAGAAAAAAAAATTGATCATTTGGAACCAGTTTATAGTACCTTTCAAGATGCAATTGCTAAATTGTCAAGAATTTTGTGAAACACAAACATCCTTTAAAAGTAAAATCTAGAGACATATGCTTAAGCGCATGATATTAAAAAAATACCAGTAATTGATATTCAAGCTTCATCACTTTGTAATAATTTTCTTATATTTTATTGTCTAAGATTCTCACCACTGGGCCAACTGGCAGCATCAGTATGGATAGTGAAGAGATTGAGATAGTTAACAGTTTTAGTTTGCTTGGTTCCACAGTCAACACTCTTGGTAACAGTAGCCAGGAAATCAAGAGATGAATTACACTGGGAAAATCAGCTGTGAGGGACCTCTCCAGGGTACTGAAGAGCAACGATGTCAGGCTGGAGACTAAGGTGCACCTCATCCAGGCTATAGTCTTCACAATTATGTGCTATGCATCGGAGAGTTGGACAGTGAATAGGGATGATAGAAAGAGAATTGATGCCTTTGAGCTGTGGTGCTGGAGAAGAGTGTTGAATAATGGACTGCTAGGAAAACAAACATGTTTGTCCTGGAGAGGGTGAAGCTGGAATGTTCCCTGGAGTCAAAGATTCTGAAGCTTCGTCTGACATACTTTGGGCATATTGCAAGGAGGGACTGGTCCTGGGAGAGGGACATCATGTTTGGTAGAGTGGAGGGACGGCGCAGGAGAGGAAGACCCTCAATGAGACGGATCAATTCTGTGATTGAGAATGAGTGTGTTTGAGATGGCGAGGTTGGCACAGGATAGAATGGTGTTTAGAGCTCTTGTACATAGGGTCGCTATGATTCACAAGTGACTTGTTGGCACATAACAACAACAACAACATGAAAAGAGTTAGAATAGGAATTCTAGGACCTGCTCATTAATTATGCTCATGCAGCACTTGTACATAGATATGAAGCAAACATTCAAACGGATACAGGGGACACTGCATGGTTTAAAGTTAGAAAAATTATGTTTTAGGATTGTATTCTTTCATAGTTTTTATCTAATCTATCTGCCAAACAACCCAAGGAAGTGGGCTATATGAAATGACAGGATTCAAAAAACACTCATCAACAACTTGTGATATGCACATAACAAAACTTTGCTTGCTGAAAATGAATATTTGAAGCAGTTACTGACAAAATTTTAAGAGTATAACATTCAATATGGATTGTATTTCAACGTTAAAGGAAAACAAAAAATCCCCACAACTAGAGAAAGAACCAACATCAAGATAAGTTGAGAAGATTGAAGTTGTCAGGAATTTAATTTTACTTCCACAGTCAGGATTCAAGAAATCAAATGACATTGTATTGGTGAATCTGCTGCCAAAAAGCTATTTTAAAGTGCTGTGCAGTAAGGATTTAATTTTAAAGACCCAAACAATGACATTTTCACTTGCTTCATATGCATGTGAAAGTTAGACAATGGCAAAAGGTGATGAGAGAAGAATTAATGCTTGGAATTGTGAAACTGGCAAAAACTACTGAACATACCAGAGATTGCTAAAAGAACAAATCTTAGAAGTATAACCAGAGTGATTTTAAAAGCAAGTGAGATGAGACTTCATATTACATAATAAGGACATGTTGTCCGGAGGAGCTAGTCCTTGGAAAAGGACATTATGGTTGGTAAAATAGAGGCTCAGTGAAGAAGAGGAACACCTTGAAGTGTGACTTGACCCAGTCGCCTTGACCCAGTGACCGCAACAGTGGCTAAAGACCAGCACTCATTGTGAGGATGACACAGGATTTGGTTGTGTTTCATTCTGTTGTATACAGAGCTACTAGGAACTGACTTTACAACTCCTAACAACAAATAGCAACATCGTGTTTATGCTCTCGATGTTTATATCTGTTGTATATGTCATCTGTAGTGCTGTACTTTTAGGAATATCTTTCCAACTCTGCATGTACTTGGCCACAGAAATTGGCAACTACCGCAAACCAGGACTTGATTTACTGTTTTATTGATTATTACTCTAGACTTAAGAAATGTTGTTAATGCTGATTAAACTTAAAAAGTCTGCAGTCATTACACTGTGATTAACCCCCTGCACACATATTTCAAAGACATTATCCAATTCAGCAAAATTGTGCCTAATATCACTGATTATCTCTATCTATCTATCTATCTATCTATCTATCTATCTATCTATCTATCTATCTCAGTGACATGGCATTGTATATATGAGTATGTGTGTCTTTGTTCTACAGTGATTGTAGGTTATCTGACTTCATTTACATTTATGAGCGGGGAAGAAGAATTGAGAGCAACAGCCCAGGTTGATTCCTATGAAGAGGAAACCAGACAATGACTCTTTTTTTTTTAAAGTTGTGATTTTAGTGAAATTTTACCAAGTAATTGGTTTTTCATTCATTCATACACATTTTCCTTCTCAAACCTCCCCATTCAGTTTATAATGCATGTCCTGTTTCATTTTTTAATGACCCTACCAAAGGTCTAATCAGTCATTTCTTTCAGGTTAATCTTCACTTCACCTATTTGAGTGCATTGTTCCTTGCTGTTGTTCTTAGGTGCTGTTGAATTAAGTACAATTCATAACAACCCTAAGAATAGCTGACCTAAACCCAGTGCTATCCTGTGTCATCCTCATCTTCCCTGAAACACTAGAGCCCATTGATGAGGTATTAATCCATCTCATTGGGGGGTCCTCCTCTTCTTTATTGGCCCTCCCATCTTTCCAAGCCTAACTTCACTTTTGAAGGAATAGCCTCACCTCTTCAACATATGGTGCTGGCAAAACTGGACTATGACCTGCAAATGCTGAAGCAGGATGCACACCTCTCACTAAACACAAAAATGAATTCAAGGTGGATCTGAGACTTAGTGGTAAAGCCCCAAACCACAAAGATCATAAGAGACAAAGTGGGACTAAGCTTAGAAGGCCTGGCTCATGGTATAAAGAGGCTGACAAAACAGGCAGAAATACACAATCTGAGAGGATAAAATTGATGAATGAGACCTTCTAAAGAGTAAATTCCTATGTGCATAAAAAAACATTTTTCAACAAAGTGAAAAGTAAAACTCCTGTCTGGGAAAAAATATTTGGCAATACATCTCAGACAAGGGTCTCATAATGAAAGTTTATATAATACCATAGAGCCACCGCAGGAAAAAGACTGACAACCCAATTACAGAATGAGAAAAAGACATGGAAAGGCCTTTCACAGAGGAAGGTATTCGGACAGCCAACAGACACATAAAAGAAATGCTCGAAATGCTCAAAACTGGCAACAAGAGAGATGCAAGTCAAAACCACAGTGAGGTATCATCTCAATTCAGTGGCAACATTTAACAGGACAGCAAGTAATAAATGTTGGAGAGGATGTGGTGAGATAGAAACAAATGATACACAATCACTCTGAAAGGCAGTTTGATGTTTTCTCAAAAAGCTGTACATAGAAATTCCATATGACCAAGCTATTCTACTGCTTGGAATATACCCTGAGAAAATTAGAATTGAGACACAAATGGAGATATGTACACCAATGTTCATAGCAGCATTATTCACCAACATAAGAACATGGAAACAGCCCAAATGTCCAATCACAATAAATGCATCGAGAAATTGTGGTACATTTACACAATGAAATACTATGCAGCATGAAGAGCAATGATTTAGAAAATTACTACCTAACTTGGAAGAGTCTGGAGAGCATTATGCTAAGTGAGCTAACTCAGTTCCATAAGAAAAAATATGGTATAAGGCCATTATTGTAGAAATAGGAAAATAACTAGTAAAATGGGTATGACGATATAAGGGAGAGGTGAGGGCAGGAGTAGTGGGGTGAGGATAAGCAAGAGGGTAATCATAGGATCACAAATTTGAAGGGTACAAGGAGGGGTGGGTAAAGAAAATTAGAAAGATGCAGTGTGAAAACCAATCTATATGAATTTCGTAAGAAAACCAGCATAAAAATTTTCTAAAAAAGAAGAATGCTGAGGAGAATTATATACGTAGACTAAGACACAGATCTATGAAAAGGACAAGGAAACACAACATGGTTTAAAACCAAGAAAGGTATGCTCCAGGTTTTGTCCTGTCTTCATACCTTTTCAGTCTGTATGCTGAGCAAATCATTCAAGAATGTGGCTTATATGAAGAAGAGTTTGAGGAAGAAGTCATTAACATCCTCTGCTATGCAGATTATTCAATCATGTTTGCTGCAAGTGAAAAGGACTTAAAACATTTGCTGCACCCATCAATACGGATTGTATCTCAACAAAAAAAAATTTAAAATCTCAACTACTGAACCAATAGGCAACATCATGTTAGATAAAAGATTATAATAAAAAATTTCATCTTGCTTGGATCCACAATCAACACACTTGGTACCAGAAGTCAATAAAAGACATGTTGCTT